GCACGACTTTGGCTTCCTTCGATAGATCATCTATTGGAGAGGTGTACATGGGATTTGAAGTTTACAGTAACGAATTTCGCGAATTATAATATGATTGTTGTCTCTAATGGTGTATGTGTTGAAGAAAGCAGTGTGGAAGCACCAATTGATTCGTCATCGGATGAAAAAATAACAAAAAACATTTTTAAATACAAATTGGATGTACCAACCTCAGCACATCATATTGGTTTTGCTGCCGGACCATTTGAACGGATAGTGTTTGAATATGGTGGCAATGAAAAAAATTATCCGGAAATTAGTGGTTACTGTCTTCCTCGTCGATCTGCAGTACTAAAATCGACCTTTGGTTTGGATACCGCTGATCGTTGGTCATTTTTAAACGAAGCCATGAAATTTTTCATGGATGAATATCAAAATTTCCATAATCATTTTCCGAACTTGACTGAGCCTCAACTCTTAAAATCACCTGGATTCTTTCCATACCCCTCTTATAAACTGGTATTCGTCGAGAATACTTTTGCTCCTGTTACATCAATAGCAAGTATGTCAATATGCAGCTTTGATCTTTTGCATCCTATTGATATAATCGATCAAGTTTATGATACACGAATGCGAATGGTTCAAGCCTTGGCTACTCAATGGTTTGGAATATTCATCCTACCACTGTTTATGTCCGATGTATGGCTAACACTTTCATTAGCGAATTATTTTGCACTATTATTCTTAACAAAGCTTTTCGGCAAAAATGATCTAAAGTATCGCATTAAAAAGGATATGGAACGAGTCTGTCAAATGGATGTTGGACGACCTCCATTAGTAGATCGTAATATTGGGAATCAATTGGATAATAAAGACGTAGATTTTATGCGAGTTAAAGGGACATTGGTTCTATATATGCTTGATATACGCATACGTAGATGTGCATATTACCCCGGCATTCCCGGTGTAATTGCTTCTATTCTACGTGCATCTCAGAATAATCGATTAAAATATAATTTAGTTTCGACGAGGATATTTACGGATGAGTGTACAGCTGCTGTTCCTGAAAGGGTAGATATGATTAAGAGATTCTTCCAACAATGGATATATTCCAGCGGCTGTCCGAAATTTGACATAAAGTATAACTTTAATCGTAAAAAGATGATGGTTGAATTTCAAATATCTCAACAAAATACCAACGCCATTGACGGCAAAATTGGCGATGCATTTGCGTGTGGCATCAAACCAATGCCTGTATTTACAGGACCAATGATCGTCTGTGTCCATGAAGCCGATGGAAAATCTTATGAACATATGCTCAACATCCAAGGATCAAATGAGAAACATCAAGTGCCATACCATACCAAGTACAAACGCATACGAAGAAACACGAAACGTTTCAAAGAGAAGCAAGCTGCGGCTAAAGAAGAAATGAAAGCATCAAGTGCAGGATCTGTAATGTGGGGATACAAGATTAGTGATAGTGAAAAATATGAATGGGAATTTACAGCATGGGGTGAAGAAGTTGATGATGAAAAAGGTAATTCCACTGGAGAAACCTTTGAGTGGATACGCGTGAATGAAGATAATGGGTGGCTCTGTGAAATGCAATTTAATCAGCCGGATTATATGTGGGCAACTCAATTGCAAAAAGATATCGACGTCTTGGCTCAATATGAGGCTGTTCAAATGCTTGGTAATATGCCTTCACGCGAAGCTTCAAGTACCCTTCTTCAAACATTATTGGATGAGAGGTATTACTGCAAAGTACGTATGGAGGCAGCCTATGCAATGGCAAAATGTGTAGGCAGAACAGGCAGAGCTGATCTTGGTTCGATTGGTTTTAATCAGTTGGTTAAAACTTTTAAGAAACTTTATTGTATCACGAATGGTGAGAAGTACGTGCCAGATGCAAACAATTTCTCTAACATTAATGACTATTTCGTAAAAAAAGGTATTGTGTGGGCAATATCAAATGTAAAGCATCATCAAGCAGAGATTGTTGAATTCATAATGAAATTGCTACAATATAATGACAACACGGGAAATGAATTTTCCGATAATTATTATGTTGCAACACTTATTAATGCGCTTGGAAACGCATTCACATCAGATAAACCTAATCCGAATGACAACAAGACAGAATATATTTCTGAAGATATTTCTGATTCTCTTGAGGAAGCACTTCAAGAATTAGAAAGGTATCGATATCGAGACATGATGTTTCCGACATACAGGAACACTACAACGGTAGCATACATCGATACCAAACACAAACTTATGAAAAACTTGTTTAATGAATTATTGCCCGAAGACAAGAATTTATTCTTAATTTTCTCGCTCTATGGGCACCATCCGGATGTTCGTCTGGCAGCTTTCCGTGCAATAATCTCACTTGATCAATGGAAAACCAAATCTGCAGTCAACTATCTTAAAGAGGTAGCGATGACGGATCCTTCTTTGACTATTAGACGACAGCTTCAACAAATAATGACAGGAAAAGATCTTGGACCGCCATGTTGGATTCCGTCTTATAAGGATGTAAATGACAATGCTCGTCCTCTTCAACAGGCGGAAGTTAAGCAGCAATCCACGGAACTTAGAAGAGTGCAAAAATCTGAGCCTATGGAATTTGAAAACGTCGTCGCTGAAAAGAAACGTAAGTATGAAGGGGTGGACAGAATAGAGAATAAAAAATCAAAGAAACAAACGTCGACTGTAGATTCCCAGATTCAACCCGAAGCATCAATATCAAAAACCAATAAATCTAGCTCGGGCAAAAGCTCCAAAAAGAAGGGTGGAAAGAAAAAGGAGGCAGTAGTTCAAGAGGTTCAACCAGTTGTACAAAACCCGCCAGCGCCAATTGAACAGCCTGCCCAAACTTCTGAAACTCCTCAACTTCCACAACGCACGTTATTGATCTTGAAAATGAAAAAATAAAATTCACGATATTCTTGTATTTATTATCTAGCATTTAGGTATTTAGATCGGTGATATCAATGCTACAGATTGATCAGCGATCGTAACCATATATGTAAATTATTACTTAATGATAAAATAAAAAATTGTGCTCATTAGAGAATTTTTTTTTTTACTCAAATTCTCAACGATTAATAAAAAATTGTTTGCTGTTCAATGCTGAATGTAATATTTTTATTAGTTTATTGTTAAAATTTAAATGTAAATTGTATGTAGCAAATTCGTATTCAAAGGAGTCCACGGCGTCATTCGCAGTCATTGACACGAAAAACTTGCAAAAAACCCAGTTAGACTGTGATGACAAAGTTTCCGCTTGAGCATTTAACTTGTAGCAAGCGGATGGTTTTACGTGGTATATTAATCATTGATTGTATTCAGTTTATTATCATGTATTGTTGGGTATGCATGATATTGGGTGTATACAAACATAATATAAAAAAAAATTTATTTTGTAAGCGATGTAGAATATTGATCAACTGTATATTTCATGATCTTCAAAAATGCGAATTATATCTTTTGACTTTTTATAACTTCTTGGAATTGAACATACATAGTTCAATTTCTTCAATCAGCAAATAACCTCTGTTTATTAAATGGGCGAGAATCCTCAATATCCACAGCAAACTTGGTGAGTAATTTGTAGAAAAGAAGGAAGTCAAGTTGAACAACGAAACAAATAGTCACTAGCGAATTGTTTGATCGTTAATTTCGTGATTTTCTCTTCTTTAGGGCATACTCATATGACCCAAATTACAATCAAACACAATACATTCCACCTCCACCAGGAACTCAGCCAGACTACTCTTCAACTTATTTTCAAAACGCTGCTGCTTCACAACAAACATATTACACTTATCCTAACACCACACAAATTACAAATTCAACTTACCCACCTGGTATAACTCCCGATTTTGGTGCACAGATTTCTAATAACGCACAACCTGACCCGCCCGGCGTCACTTCAGCATCTTCTTGGTATACCGGTTCCGCTACTGCTCAACAACAACAGCAGCAGCAACAGCAACAGCAACAACAGCAACAAATTTCTAATCAAACATATTACGGGCAGCAGAATACTTATATCCCCGCTTTTGATCCAAATAATTATTATCAAACTCAAACTTACGCCGCGGTTTATTCAGCTCAACCCACTGTCGTCTCGCCAACCATCACAACAGCACCTACTACTACTACGACTACTGCTACTTTTCCCGGGTTTGCAACACAACCTGCTCCTCCAGGTATCATGAAAGAAGTGACTCCCGCCGCCACGATGTCAACTAATACCACAAATATCACATCACGTTCTACAACAACAACATCAGAGAAACCTTCTACGATACAAGCGTTAGTATCGGTTGATTATCGTTCATTTTGATTAATCAATAAATTTCTAAATTTTCATTTGTTGTTTTAGTCCCGCCAGCCTTTTTTCAACTGTTGTTTCATCTACAATAAATAAATCAAAAGACCCAGAGCCTAAAGCTCTTACATTAGATAAAGTACAACAAACTACATCAGGAATAGCTAATTTAAATGTCGGATCTAATGCGCAATCCAATAAGGATAAAACAAAATATAGTAGGTTCTCTTTTATTTATCATCATCAATGAGAAAAAAAAGATTAACCGTTATCATACTTGAATAGAACCCGCTTATCATCCTATCAAAATGCCTAAATCATCGAAGAAAACGCCCGGTCGAAATCCCTTAGATGATTCAAGATCGGGACCTTCGACTACTGCGAATCAACAACGTCAAAAGTCTCCCGCAAAAGAAGCGAAAGAACAATGGCCCGATAGTTTAAAGTAGCTATCGAACTTTTATATTTAAGCTTAATTTTTTTTGATATTCGCATATTATGATGAACATGCTCATTGATAAAATTTTCTTTAAATAGGGATTATGTCAGACGTAGTTTTGATGCTGCAGGAGAAAATATCGATGCAGTTGAAAAAGAATTAAAAGAATTAATTAGTAAAAAATTAGATAATCGGGCGATGTGGACAACCGATTGGGCTAACATGAAATTGCCAGCGTACAGTATTAGATGGTTAATTACTTATTAAGTTATCGTAATATTGTAATTTAGCAAAATGGAGTAATATATGAAAATCATTTTCTAGAGCATGTTCAGAGAATGCTGATTCAAAAGCCGATTCAAAACGAAAAGTGTGAGCATTTTTAAGGATCTTGGGTGCGTGCAACTTTTTTAGTCCTTTATTATATTATTCATTTATTTTTTATAAAGTATAAGATCGCCAGAGAGACCAGTTCAAATAGAAGTTGATATTGGCGAACAATCGAAAAGGGAAAAACGTCTTAAACGATTTGGGGGAGCAGATGCAAATAATACACCTGAACAACAGGATGTGCTGACATTTAATAATCAGGTAATATTTACGAATAATTTTCGAACAATGCATGTATCATATTAATAAATCATTCATTCTTTTGCGAATTCAGGATGACAGCAGTGTAGCTAATCAATACAAAATAATTGTTGGCACAAGCCAACAATTAGAAAAAAATTATCTTCGGCTTACTTCTGTAGGTCTTATCTCTTTCTAATAATTATTTTACTTTACTCTTTATTACTCAATCATAATAATCTTTATGTTTGATAATCTTTAAGGCTCCTGATCCTTCTTCTGTCCGACCTTTAGAAGTTCTACAGAAAACATTAGAATTTTTGAAGGATAAATGGAGAGAAGAGCAAAATTATACATATATTTGCGATCAATTTAAATCTTTGCGACAAGATTTAACGGTATGATAATCGATTTTCATTTCAAATCGCACAAACCGCTAGTTGCTGTACTTCTCTAATGTTATTTGACTCCAAGGTACAACATATACAAAACGAGTTTACCGTTAAAGTCTATGAGACGCATGCTCGAATTGCCCTTGAAAAGGTTTTCGAAAAATCTTATGATGCTTCAGATAGCCTCATTATGTGTTTCATTAATTAAATACGCTATTTGATAATTTTTAGGGTGATCTAGGTGAATATAATCAATGCCAAACACAGTTAAAAACTTTATATAAACAGAACATAGCAGGTCATATAATGGAATTCACGGCATATCGTCTTTTATATTTTTTACATACAAAAAATAGATCAGGTATTTAATATCACCATTTTCTTATTGTTAACATATTGGTATTAATTCTATTTACTTTTTTTCTTTTAGACATTATGAAGTTAATTGTCACATTAACGCCAGAAATGCGCAATGATCCGACCATAAAACACGCATTAGAAGTAAGATCTGCATTAGCAACTTCAAATTATCACAAGTTTTTCCGGTTATATATGGAAGCGCCGTATATGGGCGGTTATTTGATAGATCATTTTGTTGGTAGAGAAAGAGTCGATGCATTATTAGCTTTATGTGAATCGTAAGTTAAGCTCAAAATTGATTTAATTTACTGAATAAATAAATAAGTAGTACTCTTGTTTATCTTAATTAGATTTCGACCGAATCTTGATCTTGAATTCGTCACAAGAGAACTTAGTTTTGTCGACCTTCAAGAATGTATCAAATTCCTAAAAGAACACAATGTTGAATGCATCATAGAAGGTCATTTGCTCGATACCAAAAAAGCGGAAGCTCCTCTACGGGCAAGCAGTATGAAGAACTCAAAAATCGATATCAAAGGACAAATTTAAGAATAAACTATCTAATTGAAGATATTATTAGAATATTAGAAGTTGATGAACAATAATTCTCGCGAGATTATCTATTTCTTTTTGTAACCTTAAAATTGATCAAAGATACGACCTATTTTTCAAGGCTCAATTGTATAGATCGAGTTTGGTGGTAACGGATTATGTATAATTGTGAATAATTATTTCATATTTATAATTTTAGAGAACACAATAATCAAAGATACTAGTAATTCTGGTATTGTTGCTTTTATCTAATACGAATTTTATTTGATTCACAAACGTGTATAGATAGCAATAGTACATACAAAGGCAACCCCGTTTAACCGCAGCACTAATTACAACCGAAGATGGCTCCAGGATCAGTTATAGTAAATCTACCCGTTAAACCGAATTTACTAATGAAACCTCG